GTATGTGGGATGTGGCCTCAGCATGGCCGGAGGAGAAGCAGTGCGTCGGTGTGCGCCTGGGATCTAAACCCGGGCCGCCAGTAGTGGAGCGCACGCACTTAACCGCTAAGCCACCGGGCCGGCCCTCTAAATTGTTAATTATTACACAACACCTTCTGTAACCATTGGCAGACAGCAAATATTACAAATATTTGTGTTTGTAAATATTTAACTTGCTTCCTAAAGCTCATCAAACATTTTAAGGACAGAGTAAGGAGGTGTCGCTTGAATAAGTCAAGTCAGAAAAACACCAGCAGCCCCAATGCCCCTATAGGGACTGTGATCAGTCACCATCTATGGAGAACATTACGGGAGCCTGAAGCTGGGCTGATCCCTCCAGGCCCCTCAACTCCTTAGTCCTCCCACCAGGCCTGTGAGCGAGGCCCCGGTGTGGTTCCATTTACAGGATGAGGCTCAGGGAGGAACAGGGCTGGCCAAGGGCACACAGCGTTGTAAGGGGCAGAGCTCATCTCCCCGAACACACAACTGATTCATTTTAGCATCTCTGTCTGTAACCTGAGCCTCAGTGTCTGTTTCTGTACAAAGTGGATCAAAACACCACCCTGTAGATGGGTGAGGATATGTGTAAACACAGAGCCTGGTATATAGTAGATGCTTAATAAATAACACCTGTCATTATTATCACAAGGCGTGGTCATTCCTCGTTCTGAAACTGTGTATTTGATTTAGGTCAAACGAAAGCTTAGGGCGTCGGCCCCGTGGCTTAGCGGTTAAGCGTGCGCGCTCCGCTACTGGCAGCCCAGGTTTGGATCCGGGCGTGCACAGACGCACCGCTTGTCTGGCCATGCTGAGGCAGCGTCCCACATACAGCAACTAGCAGGATGTACAACTACGACATACAACTATCCACTGGGGCTTTGGGTAGAAAAAGGGAAAAAAAGGAGGAGGATTGGCAACAGATGTTAGCTCAGGGCTGATCTTCCTCAAAAAAAAAAAAAAAATCTTAGCAGACACCAAGAAAAGTCTTGAATCCTGCTCGTGCAGCTGCCATGAAAAACCCAGTAGAAACTCTCAAATTATGATTCTCTCTCTCTTTTTTTAATAATCCCCATAGGAAACAAGTTTGGCAAATTGGCTTTCAAAATACACAGGAGATCATGGGCATTTCCCTACCGACCCGCTCTTTACAGAAAGCTGACATTCTGAAAGGAGGGAGAACAGGTTTTGTCAGTGACATCTTGGTGAGCTGAGGCACAGAGGGCTCAGGGCTGAGCAGTGAGTGGTTGGGGGGATTCCAGCCTGTTAGTCACACAGGTGTTTAAAGATGGGAAGGTTTCCCCAGCAACGAAGCTTGGCTCTGAACAGGGCGTCGGGGCTGCCCATTTTTGGGTGGAGGGGGCAGGAAGCCACTCTCAGCCCTAGGTGCTCCTGGGAGGGTGTCCTGGACACTCCATTCGGGCTTATATTCTTGGGCTTCAAACAGCTGTCACTGACACCTGCTATTCTGAAGCACCTACACCCCCAAAAGCTGTTGTCGCAGCCCCAGCAGCAAGAGGGAGCCACCTTTGTCAGGGAAGAAAATCACCAGGCTCCTGTATTCCTCACCACATCCTGCAGAGGTTGCGTGATCACCCACCTTCTACAGGTGAGGACACTGAGGCCCAGCAAAGGGAACTGGGTCACACCTTGAAGTAACACCTGGATTTGGGGGGTGATGCTCTGTGCTGGGTGATTTAGAGAGAGCACATCAGATCCTTTCAACTCTTGCAATAGGAGTCCATGATTATCCCCATTTTACAGATGGGGAAACTGGGGCTGAGAGAAATGAAGGGACTGTCTCCTCCCCACACTGTGTCCCAGGGGAAGCTCCTGTGGCCCCCAGGCTTTCACGTCCATCACAGAGCAAGTGTCCTCCTCCATGAGCCCACACTGACCACCACCCTCTCTTCCCTCTGGGATTCCTGACTTCAAGCAATTACAGGAGGAGTCGCCTCTGGAGTGCCCAGGCCTGGGGACCCTGCAGCAATAAAGGGAGGACACGGGCTCCTGACAGCTGGTCTAGAACATGAGCTCTTGCTCACACGGGGCCCCAGCACCTCTGGGAAATGCCTCCCCCTCCTCCTCTTCAGTCTGCTGAGCCAGGGTCGGGCTGCACCGTGTTGCTGGAGTGCAGCAGCCCCTCTCTGCTCTGCCCACACCTCCCTTCCCAGAGCTGCTCCCGTGAACTGCTCAGTGAAGGACAACGTCACAGCGATGGGGGAGACTCCTGAGTGCTGTGACGTGTGCTGAGCCCTGTGTTTTAGGAACAGGTTCAGCACATCACGAGACACGTGCAGGATCTGCCTGATCTGGGGTTGTAGGGTAGCCCCGCCTCCTCCACAGGACTTTTCTTTTTAATGCTTATTGCTAAAGAACAGAACATACAAGATTTTAGAGGAGAGGGCTGGAGCTTTCTCCACACTTTGACAAGCACAGCGAGGGGCTGCCGAGCAGGGCTGTGAGTCAGGTTGCTGGGGTTCAATCTTGGCTCCCCTGCCTGCTCACTAGTCAGGTCCCCTCTCTGAGCCTCAGTGTCATCATCTGTAAAAGGGCAACAGAGGGCCCCTCCCTCACAGCACTGGTTATAAGAGTAAGTGCTGTGATGCAGATACAGCGTCTGGCACGCTGCCACTCCCTGTCCCCTCCCACCTCCCTCCTTCCTCTTCCAGGGCATCATCTGGGCAGGCGCCTTGGGGAAGAGGAGTGAGCCCTCTACTAGGAGGCAGCAGATCTGAGCGGCAGTGGAGCCACTTACTAGCTGTGATTAGCCAGGCAACGGACGCACCATTGGGAACTTCAAGAATATCTGCAAAATCAGGATAAAGCCACGTTCCCTGCCTATGTTGAGGGGTTGTGACACTTGATTGCTACCATGTCTAGGAGGGAAATTTGTTAATATCCACACAAATTAAAATATACACACCCGGGGCCGGCCTGGTGGCGCAAGCAGTTAAGTGCGCGCACTCTGCTGCGGCGGCCTGGGGTTCGCCGGTTCGGATCCCGGGCGCGCACCGATGCACCACTTGTCAAGCCATGCTGTGCTGGCGTCCCATATAAAGTGGAGGAAGATGGGCACAGATGTTAGCCCAGGGCCAGTCTTCCTCAGCAAAAAGAGGAGGATTGGCAGATGTTAGCTCAGGGCTGATTTCCTCAAGCAAAAAAAGAGGAAGATTGGCAGATGTTAGCTCAGGGCTGATCTTCCTCACCAAAAAAAAAAAAAAAATCTTAGCAGACACCAAGAAAAGTCTTGAATCCTGCTCGTGCAGCTGCCATGAAAAACCCAGTAGAAACTCCCAAATTATGATTCTCTCCCTCTTTTTTTAATAATCTCCACAGGAAACAAGTTTGGCAAATTGGCTTTCAAAATACACGGGAGATCATGGGCATTTCCCTGTGGACCCGCTCTTTACAGAAAGCTGACATTCTGAGAGCAGGGAGGACAGGTTTTGTCAGTGACATCTTGGTGTGCTGAGGCACGGAGGGCTCAGGGCTGAGCAGTGAGTGTTTGGGGGGATTCCAGCCTGTTAGTCACACAGGTGTTTAAAGATGGAAGGTTTCCCCAGCAATGAAGCTTGGCTCTGAACAGGGTGTCTGGGCTGCCCGTCTTGGGGTGGAGAGGGCAGGCAGCCACTCTCAGCCCCAGGTGCTCCTGGGAGGGTGTCCTGGACACTCCATTCGGGCTTATATTCTTGGGCTCCAAACAGCTGTCACTGACACCTGCTATTCTGAAGCACCTACACCCCCAAAAGCTGTTCTTGCAGCCCCAGCAGCAAGAGGGAGCCACCTTTGTCAGGGAAGAAAATCACCAGGCTCCTGTATTCCTCACCACATCCTGCAGAGGTTGTGTGATCACCCACCTTCTACAGGTGAGGACACTGAGGCCCAGCAAAGGGAACTGGGTCACACCTTGAAGTAACACCTGGATTTGGAGGTGCGACTCTGTGCTGGGTGATTTAGAGAGAGCACCTCAGATCCTTGCAACTCTTGTAACAGGAGTCCGTGATTATCCCCATTTTACAGATGGGGAAACTGGGGCCGACAGAAATGAAGGGACTCTCTCCTCCCCCCACCGTGTCCCAGGGGAACCTCCTGTGGCCCCCAGGCTTTCACGTCCATCACAGAGCAAGTGTCCTCCTCCATGACCCCACTGACCACCACCCTCTCTTCCCTCTGGGATTCCTGACTTCAAGCAATTACAGGAGGAGTCGCCTCCGGACTGCCCAGGCCTGGGGACCCTGCAGCGATAAAGGGAGGACACGGGCTCCTGACAGCTGGTCTAGAACATGAGCTCTTGCTCACCCAGGGCCCCAGCACCTCTGGGAAATGCCTCCCCCTCCTCCTCCTCAGTCTGCTGAGCCAGGAACGGGCTGCACGGTGTTGCTGGAGTGCAGCGGCCCCTCTCTGCTCTGTCCACACCTCCCTTCCCAGAGCTGCTCCCGTGAACTGCTCAGTGAAGGACAACGTCACAGCAATGGGGGAGACTCCTGAGTGCTGTGACGTGTGCTGAGTCCTGTGTTTTAGGAACAGGTTCCGCACGTCATGAGACTTTGCAGGATCTGTCTGATCCGGGGTTGTAAGGGTAGCCCCGCCTCCCCCACAGGACTTTTTTCCTAATGCTTATTGCTGAAGAACAGAACATACAGATTTTGAAGGAGAGCCTTGGTGCTTTCTCCACACTTGGACAAGCACAGTGGGGGGCTGCAGAGCAGGGGCTGTGAGTCAGGCTGTTAGGGGTCCAATCTTGGCTCCCCTGCCTGCTCACCAGTCAAGTCCCCTCTCTGAGCCTCAGCATCCTCATCTGTAAAAGGGTGACAGATGGCCCCTCCCTCACAGCACTGGCTATAGGAGTAAATGCTGTGATGGAGACACAGGTATGGCATGCTGCCGCTCCCTGTCCCCTCCCATCTCCCTCCTTTCTCGTCCAGGGCATTGTGTGGGCAGCAGCCTGGGGAAGAGGAGTGAGCCCTCTACTAGGAGGCAGCAGATCTGAGCGGCAGTGGAGCCACTTACTAGCTGTGATTATCTAGGCAAGGAACCCACTATTGGGACCTTCAAGAATATCTGCAAAATCAGGATAAAGCCACGTTCCCTGCCTATGTCGAGGGGTTGTGACACTTAGTTGCTACCACATCTAGGAGGGAAATCTGGCAATATCCACACAAATTAAAATATACACACCCTCTGACCTAGCAATGCTACCTCCAGTAGCATCTTCCACATGAGTGGGTGGTGTGTGGACAAGGTTACCCCCTGCAGTTCTGTTTTACTAGCCCAAGGCTGGGATAATAATAACTATATCCATGGAGAGAAGACTGTAAAACGAAGGATGCTGTCTCCATATGCTGGATTTTATGCAGCTGTGGAAACAGTGGGCAGCTCTAGGTGCTGACATGGAATGCTTGATTGGGGAGAATGTGGCTGAAGGTGGGGAGAAGTTCCCAATCTCATCGGGCCTCAGGGTCTAAACTCAAGGGGCATTCTGAACCTTTGGGAAACCAATGAAAAGCATAAGTCTGGCTCCCTGTTCAATGGTTTGGTGTAAGTGTTTCTTCAGTGCCTGATACGCGACAGGCTCTTCCAGGGAAAGAGTGCTCAACACCAGGGCAGGAAGGAGCCTGCCGGGAATCAGATCTGGGTTCTCAACTGATCCCCTCACTCACTGGCCATGTGACCGTGGGCAAGACCCCTGTCACCTCTTGGCCTCAGGCTCCCCATCTGTACATGGGGCGTGGGGCTGGATGGGTCTAAAGGTCCATTGTGCACTGATGTTTCAGAATTCAGGATCCTGGGCCTCTGGCAGAAAACCTAAATGAGTATTTTTGCTATCTCAGCAGGGAACCCCTAAGTCATCCACATGGGGAACCTCTTCCCTGGGTGAGGGACATTCTGAGATGGCCCAGCTCTGTCCAAAGCCTTCAGTGACTGTGTGAGGTGGTCCCTGAATCACGTGAGAGTTTTCTGGACACACAGCAAACACGCAACCTGTGCGCGTCTCCTCCAGCCGGGCTGTCAGAGTAAACAGAGAGTCTGGGCCTCTTAGGGATTCCTCTCAGTGTGATGTTTCTGAGGATGAGATGAAGAAACACACGTTCTCCCTCCCTGCCCTGCCTGGATTTCTCCTCACAGGAAGGGAAGAGGACGTGAGCTTCCTGGGAGAAGAGCCTTTGCCTGCTCTGTCCACTGCTGCTTCCACAGCACAGAGCAGAGCCTGGCACACAGTAGGTGCTCAGTAAGTGCTGAGTAAAGGAAGACTCGGCCACATTGAGGGGCACTCTCTGGGGGCAGGGGCGAGGTCTGGCCTTGTGACTGGGCGAGTCACTCAGACTTTCAGTTCCCCCCTCCCTAGAACAAAGGGCTGGACGGGATGGAAAAGGCAAGGGCTGTGGAGCCAGGCAGACGGGGGTTCAGACATTTCCCCCCATTTACCAACTGTGGGGCCTTGAGCAACTAGCACGACCTCTCCAGGCCTCAACTTCCCTGATCTGTGGAAGGGGGTGAAATCAGATCATGAACATAAGCACCCACTGCCACACCTGATTCTCACTGTTGCTCAAAAAACGGGGGGCGTTATTATTGACTTGCTGTCACACACCAGTGGACAAAGGAGGCCCACGCTGTACTCACCACTCACGGTGAGCTGGGTGCCTGGTCCAGACTTAAACTCCACGTCATCAGGGCTCCCTTTCTGGAACTTCACACAGTAGTAGATACCAGTGTCTGCTGGGGTGATGTTACTGATGCGGATGGAATAGTCCGTGTTGTTTCTCTTTGTGGTGTCTCCAACATTTGTTACTCGGGGGAAGTGGCCTCCTTTGAAATTGTAGATTAACTCCCGGCCTGGCCCTGTCCCCCTGAACCACTGGACGTTCCCGACGGGGAGCAGGGAGGTCAGGGTGCAGCGCAGAGTGGCCGTCTCTCCAGCTGCGACAGACACTGACTTCTCAGGCTGAATCACCTGCAGCTCCTCACCTGCCACTCCTGGAGGGAAACACAAAGCAGTTATTCCTTCATCTTTATGTGACCCTGTAGGTTTTCTCAAGTGTTTATCAACAGCTTTCATTGACTGAGTGCACACCTTGAGCAGGCCTTGAGATCAGCACACTGCATGTATCATTACATGTAACCCTCACAACAAGCATGTAATGTAAGTAAGACTGTAGTATAAATGAGGAAACTGAGGCACAGAGAGGTTAAGTGATGTGGCAGAGAGCGGGTTTGAGCTCCTGAGCCCTCTGTGGGAGTGTCATGTCTGAGCTGGGCTCTGAATTCAACTCTGAATTTACCAGGAAGGAAGGGCACAGTGTTCCTGACAGAAGGAACAGCCTGGGCAAAGGCTCAGAGGGGGGTGGGAGCATGGTGTTGTGGGGGCTCTACAAGGAGTTTAGATTGTGTTTTGGGCCTGGCCCAGGAAGCAGGCCCCGAGGGGGGAGTGGTACTCAGCAGCTGCGGGTGGTCCAGGCTGTGGAGCAGTGAGGTAGGACTTGGCCTTGAGTCCTGGCTCAGGGCTTACTGCCGCGTGACCTTGGCCATCACTCAAGCTATTGAGAAGATCCTGGGCGTGTGCTCGACACTGCCAAGCACCACATGACTGCAAGTGCTGCCCTTAGTTTGTGCAGGCCCCTTTACTGCCCTCTGAGCCTTAGTCTCCTCATCTGTCAGTTCTATGACCATTTTGATGGGTCTCTGGCAGGACCAAACCACAAGCCTGGGCCGGGACAGCGTCAAAAAGAAGGTCTGGTCTTTGAAGTGGTCTGACCTGGTTTGAAGCCTGGCTCGCCTTTTATTCACATGTGACCTGGCTTATCCATCAGTTGTGAGTCTCAGTGTCCTTATCTACAAGATGGGTAGACACCCCTAGCTCTCTGCTTTGTTCTGAAAAGAAAACGCGATCACACATAGAAGTCACTTAGCACCAAGCTGGGCACAGGGAAGCTAGTGTCATTACATGACGAATAAATGAGGGAGGGTCTGTTGCTCAAACTTCACTCCCACCCACCCTTGCTGATGCTCCTGCAGGCCAGCCCGTGCTTGACACTGGGGAGTCACAGGAGGTGGACCCAGGTCAGGCCTCAAGGGCTCTGGGCTGGGCAGCTGGAAGGATCCTGGAGGTCAGTGAGCAGAGGGGCCTGAGCCCCCACTTGGAGAGCACTGGGGCACCTGAGACAGGGGCTCAGCACTGGGGCACCTGAGACAGGGGCTCCGGGTAGAGGAGATGGGGGAGGAGGGCAGGACACAGCTAGGAAGATGACCAGGCAGATGACGTTGCTGTGAGATGTGCTGCAGGTGCTCAGAGCAGGGCGCAGCCAGGGTCCTGATTCTGACCAAAGTTGGGGGAGAAAGGACAGATCATGACCTTGGGGAAACGCAGAGCGAGAGAGGGAGAGACCCACAGAGGCGGGCAGAGGGAGAGGCAGACAGCAGAGACAGAGGGAGAGAGTGAGACGGAGTTGGGGGGAAAAGAGAATAAGAAAGACAGAGACACGGAGAGGCGGCAGCCCAGTGTAGGTGCAGACAGGCCATCTGGTCTCTGCCTGGACGTTCCCCTGACCTGCCATGTGACATTGCCCTGTCCTGACCTAGGCCACCTGTGCCTTGCCCATCACACAGGGTTGCAGCCAATGCCCTGAGCAGCCCCCTCCAGCTCTGGCTGAGACCTTGTGAATCTGCCCACCAGCCCAGGGCCTGGCACCACCCTACTGGCAGGGGCCGGGTGCCCAAGGGAAGGGAGGCCCACGGACTCCAGTCTGCCCTCACTGCGGGCAAGCCCAGAGCCTCAGGACAGGCCTCTCATCCACCTGCCCGTTGTCCCAGCCCTCACAGTGCAGGGGAAGGGACCAGAATCCACAGAGGACAGGGGCGGGGGTGGAGCTAGAGGCGGGGTGTGTGAGAGGCACACGGAGGACCCACAGAGGCAGACAGCCACCCAGAGATATCAGAGGCAGCACCAGCAGTGCCAATAGCATCCAGCCAGGAACATTCCCAATGGGTCTGCATTCCAGCATTGCGACTGGACAAACTGGGAAATGCCGCCTGGAGGAAGCACAGGCGCTGGGAGAGAGCACGGGTTCCCCGGTAGCCTGCCCAGCACCCACCCCGCCGGGGCCTCCATTCCATCTTCCATAAAGGGGGCAGCAGCATCCACCCCCAGGACAGTCATGAGGACAATGACACAGCTGAACGTAAGTGCCTGCTGCACAGGTGCTGGTTAAATTGTAGCTTCTGTTCCCATTACTATTACAGACACATTATTCATATACTCGATTTTCTCTAGATTGTCATAGTCCCCCAACCAGCATGCAGGATCCACAAAGAGCTGTTCGCAACCCCCCGCTTAGCACACTGTCTGGTACACACCGGGCCTCAGTAAATGTATGCTGAATGAACGCATTAATGAATGAAGGAAGGAGGGAGGGATTTGTCCTGCTCCTGGGCAAATCCCCTCTCTGAGCCTCCTTCCTCATCTGTAGATGGTGCTGCTATAGGCATATCTAGGAGATGGTGCAGACCCGGAGCCTGGGACTGCGCCTGGCCCACAGACGCACGTGACGAATGGCAGTTATCATCATCTTATCAATAACACCACACAGGGCTGTGAGTCAGCGGTCGGCGAGAGGAGCCGCGAGCAGGAGAGGAGGCTGCGGAACCGGCGGGCAGTGTGGGAGCTGGCTATTCTCGGGGTGCAGCCGGAGGCCTGCAATCACACCCTGGGAGGCGAGGA